TTTGATTCTGTCTCTCACAGTTGAGGTGTACCTACGATGAAAATTACAGATCTCTCCATTCTTTGTAAGTGGGAAAACTTGAAAAATCGGCAGTGTATCAAATACTTATTTGCCCCACTGTGTGTGTGTGTGTGTGTATATATAGTGGTGGGCTGCCTGGGCCGATTTTTTTGTCCCTGTCCAGCCCTGCGCATAAGTATGTGAATTGGGACGCCGCTAAAGTAATTGGCAATATTGTGTTTAAAATGTAGGTCACTCAGTATTAACTTGTTTATAGAACTGCTGTATAAAAGATCATAGTACAGAATCTAGTACATAGTCTAGTGTATTCAGTCAAAACACAGCTTGAATTTCGACGTGGGATTGCGTGTAATTTTACTGATCCCTGCAGTTTCCGTGCTGGAAACGAGGGAAATTCCCGCAAATATTTCAGCGTGAAAGATGCTCAGGACAGATGACGGAATGTATCATTTGCGCATGCTTTTGAGTCTTACAATTTTAAACATTCAAGTGCTCAATTCAGTACTTGCTCGCTCTCTGTGAGACCCCTTTCTGTGCGCTCACACCCAAAGTGCGCGCACATAGAGCCACATCTGACTGCAGAATTAAGTTGTGTTGCTCCTTATTGCACGTAAACTGCCAAATACATACAAAATTGTCAAAATGCCCGTCTTGATGAGTATTCACGTAAACAGTCGATTTATACTAAACATTGTCGGTGTATATAGGCTATTAAGTGAATGTAAACAGTTGAGAAACAACTTATGTGTAACAGTATATGTTAGATCCATGCATGAGGTCTTAAAGAGACAGCAACCTAAATAACCCTGCTGCTGTCTGTGTCATTAATGTTTATTTATACATTGAAGACTAACCAGTGTTATTTTAAAGTTAAATAGATTATTCAGTTTCTGTGGTATTTCTGTACCTAAATATTACTGTTATACCTACCAGAAAAACTTAAAGCACAGTTAATTTTAGTTGTATCTAGTTATTGTATTTGTTTGTGCCATTGCTTGTCATTGATCTATTCTTATTTTATTACTGACTCTTTACTTGTGTTTTTAGTTAAAATAAATTAAATTCAGAGTTTGAAATCAAAGTTATTTTTAAGTATCTTCCTCACAATAGAAATATGAATCAACAACATTATTCACAAATACACTGGGGGATTTAGGTATTTAGGTTGGATTATGGTAGTTTTAAGGGGGAACCCCCCCCCCCCCCATTTTCCAAAACAAAATTCAGGCCCTGAAACAGTATAAGAGTTTTGCGAAGTTATTCATATTACTTTTATGATGACTGGAATTCTCACCTCTCAGACGGTCAGTCTGCTGCTGATGGTAGATCTAGAGCTGTGGTCAGTCTGCTGTTTATCTTTTTCTGAGAACTGGCCTGTAATTAGTGAACCTCACATGGCAAAGGCTTGACTTCAAATGACTTACACCTGTCTGGATTATGTATACAAATGAGACAACATATAATTTTCTCAACTGTTGTACGTTGAGCAAAACTGTTTGTTCAGACATTAAAACCTCAGACATCCAGTTCAGTGACCAACTTGCAATGTCAAAATATAAACAAAAATATAAATCAAATTCCAGGGCCAAGACTATTTTTTCTTTGAACTTTCATTTGGCATCTTAATATGTAAATTTTTCTTCCCCCAGCTGCATCTGATCTAGTGCTGAATGCACCGCTAGTGCAGCAGACGACGTATATAGAGGACCGGCCGTTACACATGCTGTACTGTGCAGCAGAGGAGGACTGTCTGTCCAAGAGCGCCGCTAAAGCTAACTGGCCTTACGGTCACCGCCGCCTGCTCCGCTTCTCCTCACAGATACACAACATCGGACGGGCTGACTTCAGACCCAAAGCAAGCCGTCACTCATGGGTCTGGCACGCATGTCACGGGTAACCATACTAAAATCATTTTTTATTCCTGTTGTGTTGTAAATCTGGGTACACTTTTTGTGTTGCTGGTCAAATTGACCACACTGGTTTTCATGCAGTTCACCAAAAATCAAAACTAAGAAAAAACCAAAGATTAATGTAACAATCAGAAAACCTCTATTGTAGCTTGTCAGAGACAAAAAAAAATATAAGAAAATATGAACTCCTATTGTGTTACAAAAATAGTTCCTACCTTTGTTTTAGAGGTCAGTTTCCCCTACGAAAATGAACCATGGTTTTTACCACAAATAAAACCAAAAAAACATGGTTACTATAGTTAAACCATGGTAAGAACAAATTAACCATAGTTGTTTAACCATAGTATTTGTAGTAAAAAAAAAAAAAAAAAGTGTGAAACTCAAATTAACCATAGTTGTTTAACCATAGTATTTGTAGTAAAAAAAATTTTAAAAAAAGTGTGAAACTTAAATAAATGAAGAACAGTGGATATTCCTTGGAGGATTTAATTCATTGGATAAGTCTTCATATTTTAGTCCTTGACAAGCTACAATAAAGGTTTTCTGTTGTGTTTTTTTTTTTTTTGCCATGACTCTTTTGCTTTCAGTGTTGATTTTTTGTGAATTGCATGGAAACCAATTGGGAGTAATCTTTACTCCTACACAATCAATGTAACCACTGTAAATTTATATAGTCTTTCCAAAACATGTCTATGTGTTGAAAATTTGCATGCACATTCATGACCCTAAATCACAAAATTTCAAGAAGATAAATTGTAAATTAACAACAATAAATTGTTCAACCAGTGTTTCAAGCGGTTTTAAAAAATCAAATGTGGGTCAAATGGGACCTGCAACATAATCGTATTATTTCTGACCAGTCTTTAGATTTATGTGTGTGTGATTCCACAGGCATTATCATAGTATGGACATCTTCACACACTATGACCTGATGTCTGCCAATGGCACTAAAGTGGCAGAAGGACACAAAGCCAGCTTCTGCCTGGAGGACACAGATTGTGATGAAGGTAAATCACTCATCCAAATATACATTTACAGTCAGCTCTGTTCTGTAGGACATATTTTCACTTGTGTAAATATCTGTGTTTATTCTAGGTGTTTCCAAGAGATATGAGTGTGCTAACTTTGGTGAGCAGGGCATCACAGTGGGATGCTGGGATTTGTATCGCCATGACATTGATTGCCAGTGGATCGATATTACTGATGTCAAACCAGGAAATTATATCCTTCAGGTCCGAGAATGGGTGCAGACCATTGTCCCCAGTCACCAAAAACATGTATTATATTGATTTAAGAGGATTTAGACTTGTTTTTGCTTCTTTTCCAGGTTGTGATCAATCCTAACTATGAGGTTGCCGAGAGTGACTTCACAAACAATGCCATGAAATGTAACTGCAAATATGATGGCCACAGGATCTGGGTCCATAACTGCCATATTGGTGAGACATGAATACAAAGCCATAAAGAAATAGTTAACCCAAAAATTTCCTGAACCCTCAGGCCTTCCAAGATGTAGAAATGTATTATTACATCACTTGCTCACCAGTGGATCCTCTGCAGTGAATGGGTGCCGTCAGAATGAGAGTCCAAACAGCTGATAAAACATCACAATAATCCACATGACTCCAGTCATTGAATTGAAAAGCCACTTTTTAGTAATAAACAAATTCATCAAGTCGTTTTAAACTTCAAAACATTGCTTCCAGCTAAAATACTGAGTCCTCTATGCATAATACTGCTTTCTCCAGTGAAAACGTTGTCTCTTCTGAATCAGGAGAGTAAATATAAACAGATCAAGTACCATTTACAAGCGAAAACAGACCAAAACTGTTCTAAACAAATATGTCGGTGAATTTTGATGTGAGATGACAACAGGGAATGGACTTTTCCCCCTGGAGAACATGTCATTATGTATCATGGACTTATTATTTGGCCAGAATCAATGTTTTAAAATTAAAATGCCTTAATGATGGATTTGTTTCTTACAAACGTGCAACCTTTTAATTCACAAGACATTAATTGATTGACTGGAGTCGTGTGGATTATTGTGATGTTTTTATCAGCTGTTTGGACTCTCGTTCTGACGGCACCCATGCACTGCAGAGGATCCACTGGTGAGCAAGTGATGTAATGCTACATTACTCTAAATCTGTTCTGATATAGAAATAAACTCATCTACAAAATATGTTCAGAATGGAATACGTACTGTAAGAAAACAGAATTATGCAACCATAAACAGTAGTAAATTACATTCTAGTCACATGATCTGACATGATGCAGGGACATTGCATGTTGCAATTAAATAAATCCTCTTGGAATTAAAAACTCATTTTACATTTAATCCTGTTTTTCCACAAACTTTCTTGGCAGTCTGATCAAATAATGATTCAAGAAAAAAGATGATATTAGCTGATATTAATTCCAGTTCATTTAAGTGTGTACTATACTCTGTTAAATAGTAAATAATCCAGGTAGTAAATAATTCTGTGCGTACAGAAAAAAATAACATTTTATGCACAATTTACATATTATATACTGCAGAAACAGTAAGAGTATATTAGGGTAGTGCTTCCATTCAATGCCAAATACTGAAAGATTTATTTGCTCTTGTCTTTATTTCAGGTGATGCTTTCAGTGAGGAGGCTGAGAAGACGTTTGAGAAATACCCTGGACAACTTAACAACCAGATCTCATAATCTTATCACCAGATTGATATAATTAGCAAATTGGGACAATCTAATATGTCAGTTAATCCAGAGTAAAATATTTATTCATTCAAACCAGCCATAAACTAAGTAACTTCTCACATTGCAATTACAGAAATCCTAAAATCTACAATATCCAATGTTTTTACGCCAAGAGTATAACTGTACTGACATAACCTGTAATTTTTTATAAAAAAAGAACTCCAAAAAAAAACACACTCTGAGCCACTGAGTCTGGCTTAAGTAGTGTGAGGATTAGATGTAAATGAACATTTGTCAGGCTGTGCAGTGGTACTGCCTGTCGTATGTGTTTACAGTGCAATCAGGTGCTTATTTTCTTAAAGGTTTAAAAAGCCTTGTTGATGCATCACGCAGCCTGTGTGCTGCTGTCTCTGTGAGTTAAAAGTACTTGAATGTTTTGTACTCCAGATGAGCATTCGTGTTTAAAAAATTGCAAAGTGTGAATGTATGTTATGCTTCAAAGCTCTGACTCAGAGCTATTTTACTTTCAAATGGTCTTTCATGTATGACTTGTTACAGCTTCAGTGACGTTTTTTTACACGCTGTTCTAGATTTGTCTTTTTACTGAACTGGTTATGCATTCGCGTGTTCAGTTACAGTAAAATTTACATTTCATGTGAAACTGTTAAAGATGAAAATAAAGTGTTATTTAAAGTTGTAATACAAATCATTTCAAGTTTCATGACCCATTAAACAAATAAATGGTCATAATAAATGATCAGTCATGACTCAAGTTATATTACAAAGGCCTCTGCTTAACGCTCATAAAGATGAAAATCTGGAGAAGCCAAAACAGCTATACAGTGCCTTTTAAATATTTTTGTCTCAATCTTTTGTTCCACTAATGCATAGCAACCACCCAGAACACCCTAGCAACTACATAGCAGTTGAATTATTTGAAAATTCAAACATATTGTTCGTCACTCGTGTAAACAAGTAACGATTTGCCTCCAATTTTGGGCTTTTGTCGGCGATCTTCAACTGTTGGCGAGCGCTAAATGAGTATAATGTGTGGTTGTTGCTGGTAGCCATTGACTTCCATAGTATGGGGAAAAAAAATCCTATGGAAGTCAAAGGCTACCGGCAACTGTTTGGTAACCAACATTCTTCAAAATATCTTTTTTTTTGTTCAACAGAAGAAAGAAACTCTTTACAGGTTTGGAACAACTTGACGGGAGTAAATGATGGCAACATTTTCATATTTGGGTGAGCTATCCCTTTAAATATCTAGACTTGTCTGCAGTCCAAGTCCTGTAGGCTACAGTCTGAAATGTGTTTTGAACAGACATGGCTTATGACAGTAGAATGCAGTAGAAGACATTTCAACACACTTCAGCAATAAAAAAAGACACACAAATGTTTGTCTAGAGTAATTTGTGCTTATTAGTACGGTTGAACTGGATTGATTAATAGAATGGGATTAAATACGTAAAGGATATTTGTGTTGTTTAACATTTAATTATTGCATATTCTGAGTTGCATTATTTTTATTCATTTTGAGGAATACTGAATCTGTGTTTTTTTGTGGGAGAGAGATGAATTAATGCATATTCATATTTATTTTGAACTACAGTTACATCTTCTGATTTCTCTCAACATGGGGACAGGAGAGCTGTCAATCAATAAATTGGGGGGGGGAAAAGTAACTTGCGTTACTTATTTGAAAAACTAACTCCGATATTCTCTTGTAAATTAAAAAGTAATGCGTTACTTTACTACTTACTTGAAAAAAAGTAATCTGATTACGTAACTCGCGTTACTTGTAATGAGTTACCCCCAACACGGCAGGGGGTTGATTTTTCCCGCGTTTTAAAGGGGTTTACATATTGCATAGATTGTGATCGACTGAAATGAGTGTTTTGAAATATTTGACATTCTACTAATATTAAAACTGATTGATTAGAGTTCTGATGAAGGAGCCTTTGCTCTCCTTTATGAAAACAGCTTACTTTTGATTACTACTAGTGATTTTGAAGTTGAAATTGTGTATAACACATAACATTGACTGTAAAATACGTATGTTAGGACTGTCTTATGTTGAGTTTTGGTATTTGGATAGGGTCATGGGCTTCTTGGTTTTTGTTACACAGACCTGGCAACCCTGTGGGAGATTCCTAATCTAGTACTACTGAAAGTGGAAAATCTGACAAGCCACGTCTTCATTCGTACATTTTTGTCTAGTGTGGCAAGTAAAAACTAACTAATAGGAAATATTATGTAGATATGATTAGAGTAAAAGTGTAATAAATGTAATATCATTATTAAATATATTTGATTAATTTGGTGTCGAACTCAGTTCAGAACCGTGTACTAGCGTACTACTTTTTTACTATATCGTTATATAAAGAGTAGTATGCTATATAATATTTTTCAAGTCGATTGCTATGCAGATCCAAATTGAGCATCTATTTCTCATTTAATGTAAGATGGGGCAAGAAAGTAAAATTTAAAATACTATGGAACTATTATTCAATCATTTTATGGATAAAAATCAATCATCTTCAGTATTCATATTGATAACCTATAAATAAGTGGATTATTCGATCTGTATGTATAGTAACTGTTGCTATTGTGACATGCTTTCAATTAAAACAAAACAAAAAATCATATAAGGATTGTGAATATTTAACCTCTTGGACAAACTAATAACTGGTCTGGAAGTGTAGTGGAGCGGAATGACAGAGATTTCTCCACCCCGCTTCTGTAATCACAGCCCCATTCTGAACTCACACTAAAAAATAACACAAACTTTAAGAAACCCGCTCATCACCCAGGGGGAAAAAATCACACAAATCTGTTCTACTTAATATCTATTAATTGAAATTGCTGGGACAAAACGTCTTAAAATAATACATATTAACGTTCCACGTTCTGTGAAAACCTGATGACAGCTGTCAATTATTTTTTAGCCCTACACTCTTCTAACTCTTTCTTATTGTGGAGGGCATAGGAATGATCACTTCTGAATGGAGCACATCCATAGTCTCTTGCTAACATGTACTGTTTAATGTTTAAGTGTTATGGCTACATGTTTTGTATGGCACTTCCACTGTTCTTCATTTAAGTTCATTAGAATTAATTCAGCACACACCATATCCCTAACTGGACATTTTTAGATGTCAAACAAGATGTTAGCTGGTGCATTTACTGCATGAACCATTTTAACTAGTGAAGACCTTCTTAACAAGACAGTTCTAAGAGACTTTAGTACTGTATATCTGAGACATTATGAAAATGATGAGTTCCTCACACAGTACATAAACACACACTCACTACTTCCAATGAGTCCCTCATAATACTTGCAGAGGGCAGAAAACAAAGCACTCATATGGATACGTTTTGAGAAACAGTTTAAAAGATGACACTGACAGTATATATTTTATGTACATTGCAGGTATTTTAGTTTTTGAAATCCTGTATTTATCGCTGAAATGCAGTCCGTTTAACAACACGTCCTTCTTTATCAATGGCGAAATTGTAGTTTTTCGGGTTGTCAAGAGCCTCTCCAATACGCTGATCTAGATTGTCCTGTGTGATGAAGTCCTTTGCCTCTTCCTGAAACACAGATGAATGCAAGGGTGAGAGAGAGGTAACCCAATCATGAAACCCAAAAAACCCTACATGTTCAAAAATACCTATAAAAACATGAACAATGCATGTCACACTTTTCAAGAAATTTATCAAATAACTTCAGTTTCAGTTCAGTTCAGTTTTAACTTTCAGTTAAAAACCAATCAAATAAAAATACTGCAACACAAAACATGACAGCACTACTCATACATAGTTTAAATTTGAACAGAATTTCTGGAAAAACACTCACCTGTAGTTGAAGAATCTGTCTTTCTTTTTCTTTAATGTAGTTCTCCAGCTCTTGCTGGCGTAAGATGTCTGCTTCTCTCTTCTTCAGTTCCGTGGCCTCAGCCTCCTTCTGCATGCGTTGCTCTCTGGAAGACCAGAAGATTAAAGGTGACAATATGTAATATAAGTCTCTGGTGTCCCCAGAATGTGTCTGTGAAGTTTCAGCTCAAAATACTCCACAGATCATTTATTATAAAATTTAGAAAATGCTTATTTTGAGTGGAAGCAGAAACATGCTGCTCCCCGCCCCCTTTTCCAGAATAGAGCTGTGCCTTTACAGCTGGTATCTGCTAAAAAACATCTGTTTTGGTTCTGATTATCATGTTTATCACACTGAAATCATATGATTTAAACCATATAAGTTTAAACTTCAGCTATATGGTTTTCTGAGCACACACATCCTAAGCACACGGACAGAAAGCAGCTGTCACAGCATGCGAGTACTAAACTAAGTTCTCATTCACACACAAGTTTACGTTAGGTTATGTCTGTGAAGGTAAACAGCTGGGAAATAAATTGCTTGTTTATTTTAGATCTGTGTGGCAGCAGCAATATACAGTAATTAAATCAATAAATCCACTGCTTGTCTCCTCTGAGGCTGGGACTCTGAATAGTGTTCTGTGCTCGTCTGTGCAGCCAAAGACAGAACATTAGCATGTTTTGCTCAAACTTTCGCCATGGCATTAGAACTGGTACAATGTTGTCGCTTGCAAAATCAAAATGACGGCGCTGTGGGGGAAACTTACAGATTAAGGGGCGGTGATATTAAAATGAGATCACTTTGCCACGTCAACAAGGGAGTGAAATCAGACGTGCTAATTAGACTCTTGCAGAAAAAGGCAAAACAAAGAGACTGGGTTCATCTTTATCACGTTTCCTTGGTTGGTAGATCCACCAGGGACCTGATTAAAGCACTTAAACCCTGAAAAAGTCAGATTTTCATATGTCACCTTTAAAATCAAAGAGCAACAAAATGCAAGTGTATCTGACTGCATCCCTCACCACCATAAATCACATCATCACAAGCTACAACCTAGGGATGCACAATTAATCGAATTTCTAATCGCAATTACAATTATGGATGCCACAATTACATAATTGTTCAAAGTTCACTTATGTTATTCTGCACGCTTAAGATGTTTTTTTTCTTTCTACATGCTATCTTAAGGGTTTTTTAAGGTGTTTTAGTATAACATTATAATACCATTCATAATACTATAGAAAAGCACTAAAGGCTTTTCAGTTAGTGTTTTCAGCTTGTTTATTTTTGTCATAATCGTGCAGCCCTACTACAGCCACTAAAACAAAACAGCCATTTAGGGAATGTCATCAGAGCCCCTCCCCCAGAAACTTTACCTGCCATTCACAAATCTTCTCCTGCGGCCTCATGGGACAGTAAAGTGCCCATTTGCCTACTGTTTTATAAATACTGTGAATTCAGACATACTACTCTGTTCAGATACTGTCTTTAGCCTATATTTCAGATGCAGCCAGAACCTTCTCACAAAAGGCCCCTCGGGTATCTCACATCTAAACCACTCACCGTATTTGACCCATTCTGAGGTTTTCAGCATCATTCAAGGCCATCAGTGACCGATGCTCTTCTGCCTCCCTTTTAGTTCTCTCCTCTGCCACGGAACCAACCTCCTCTTCATATTTCTTCCTCAACATCTGCTCCTTGAACTCGAGTCTACATGCATAAAATGTTCAATTATGTCAATTGAGATTATGTCAGTCTGAAACTCAAATGGTTTAAGTAATCAGAAACACAGATGTATTCACTGGTGACTGACTGGACATCATAATCAGTCGGGAAATTATTTAAAGAAGTAGTTCACGTCCGGAATAAAAATGTCCTGGTAATATACTCACCCCCATGTCATCCAAGGAGAGAGAAGCCGGGCTACAGGAGCATGACTCCTTGATAAAGCCCGCAACATGTTGAAGATTATATCTAGTTATGATTGACAGTCTACGCAGAACAGATTCCAGCATGGCCACATAACACTGAGCATCTTCACCTAAGCCGCCATACTCTTGAACTTTTACCACGGAAGATGTTTCTTTTACTCGATCCACAGTCAAGCCTGAGCTCAGCTGAACCCGAGGCGCCCGCTAGTGCCGCGCGCTGTAGAGAGTCCAGCGACTGCAGGCTCGGGAGGGAATCGCTAGCACAATAACTACTGTTTCCAGTGATTTCTGCTTCCATTCACCGTTCTAGCCTGCGTCCGAGGAAGAATTATTTGGAAAAAATATCTAAAAAGCGGGTTAGAAGCGGCATAAACGAGGTAATAAGGTACGCAGGTAAGTCATAAATTGTTGGATAAAAAATACCAAACAAACAACAGTTTGGTAACGTATTCCTTTTGATTAAACACGCTTACAAAAATGCATAATATTTACATAAAAAGACAATATGACTGTCACTGTGGAAGAAGCCGCAAATTAAATTATGACATAAAAGTCATACGATATAAAAAGTCAAAATTATGATAATTATTATGACACTAAAAGCAAGAACTATGGCATTAAAAGTCGACAACTTTGGTAACATCACATTAAAACCAATTATGTCGTAAAGAGTCAGAGTTACGACAAACTGACAATTAAGTCATTGCAAAAAATAATAATAAAAATAAATAAATAAAACAACAACTGTCATAATTATGACTTGTAAGCAAGCGGCTATGGCAAGCCGTTTTAGCTTAAAATATCCCCAGCCTTACTCGTCGTAATTGCATTTTTACTAGTAACAATTCAATTAAAGAGCTCTACAATTAAATTCTTACTAGTAACAATGCCAATTAGAGAGCTCTCTAAATCAATTCTTACTAGTAACAATTATAATTAGAGAGCTCTGCAACTGCATTCTTACTAGTAAGATCTGAATTAGAGAGCTCTATAATCATAATTGTTACTAGTAAGATCTGAATTAGAGAGCTCTATAATCATAATTGTTACTAGTAAGA